TTGTGACCGAGCGCCTTCAGCTAGATAAGTCCATCAAAACTAATGCGGTTAGCATCAAATGTCGAATACTTACGGAGCTATTGATTTTGGGGATTTATTTATTGCTACATTCGAATACCTACAGCACTACTGATTTGGGAATTTATTTACCGTTACACATTGTACGTGACTAAGTAGTATATCCTAGACAGATTAATAAGACAATGAGGTTGGTTTTGGTGGAAAAGCCTGGTCCATTAGCAGGTTATAAGCTTATTTGACAATGAATGTCAGAAAGTAAGCTGCGATTTCACCATTTTTAATAGTTTTTCCCGTCATATATCAAATTTCGAACCTCATTATATAGTCTTCAAAGACACCCCCACTTGAACTTATATCCAACTGTTTACATGTACATATGCATATATATATACCACGTGAATGTATTTCTCGACTACATGCAATTGTAAGTGCCAAGGGACATCAGGAGGTCAAATCGCACCATGTTTAAACATTTTCAAGCAGGTCTCAAAATTGTCACAGCCGGTATGCAGGGCCCTACATGAAAATCGTCGTGATAACACCATATTATTGGTGATCCATCCTACATCATTACGATTGTATCACTTTCGTCACTTGAAGGATGGACGTTATCAGATATAGTGTGACTGTCTTGATTTGACCGCTACTGTAAAACCCTACGGATTATCGAGGTGGTGCACCAATCGTTTTATGACGGTTTGACCTTCGAGTACTCAGTAACCTCCATCAGTAGACGATATTATTTTATCGTTGCCCCACTAAACTTACGTCTACATCAGCGCTTCCTAAGCTTCCAACATTCTGTCGTCTAAATAAACCTATTAACTCCGTAACGATACACATGTAAATGGGATCATTATGGGTGAAAAATGTTTTTGGTGTGCATTTAAGCGAGGAAGAGCTCCAGAACATTCCACATTTAAAGATTGAACTGCTAACGCATATCGCTCTCAGAATAGTTCAAACTTCATGTCTTTTCGGAGCTATCATATGTGCCCCGACGATTACCTTGTTGTCACGTTTGTTTCTGCTAGTTTAGAATTCATTTTCAATTTCAGAACCTAAAACTCTAAGGTGCTTAACCAGAAGATCAGTCAAATTAGCCACATATGGATTCTTACTCGGAATCACCATTGCCCCAATACTGATGTACGCCCGAATGAAAGATCAGCCGGACGAAGCATTTTACGACAGGTACTATCGGCTACGGTGCAACAAAAGTCAGGTATAGCTAGTGTGTTAATGTAGACCATGTCCTTCGAATAGCTAACCTTATTCGTCTAAATTCCACTATCGAGTAGTCATTCATTTCTATAAGGGTTCATGACCATTCAAACTCAGGAATAGTACTTGTGATTCGTAATCAGTGCCTATTCAATTTCGAAGGAATCATCAGTTGGTGCATATAGCCAATGAATGTATCACTCGACAACATAAATTTGTAAGTACCAACAACAATCGGGAGGTTAAATCTGTCTATATTTGTGCGCTTTTGTCAGATTCCCATTTTGCTGAATTCAGCTTCTAGTTATTTTCCTAATTGAGCTGAACGGGATTTCTTTGGCTACGTTATGTACGTCAAAGCCACAACACACAACAAATGCCCATCGCCTGACAGAATTCGGTAGACGGTTATACGTGCATGGCTGATTTATCTCTCTTGGGAAAGACTCAGCTTGATGAATGATTTATTTGATACTATATAATTTTTTATTTACTCTAAAAGTCTAGGCGTCTTTTAGGTGAAATGCTGGTAATATTCTGTAAAAAAAGGATGACATACGGTTCAGAAATTTACACGTATTACTATTAATTCATAGCAGTTATACGGTTATCCCCAAACTAGTGGATCGACACTTAAAGCAACACTCCATTTCCGAACCATAGAAACTGTCGAAGGTTATATTATTTCATTTGAACACATAGATACTGATACAAAGAGGCACCAATCACATATGCGCCACATTAATCTCATTCGATTTGTGTAAGGGCTGTAATACTGCCCGGGTGCCCAAACCGAAGCAGGACTGTGGAAGGTGCGAAGAATTGTTCAGGATGATAAACAAACTTTAAGGTTTCATATTCTGTAACAACAGTGAATTTTTTCCAAGTACCTACGAAGTCATTCAACGACCCAGAACATAGCTAATGCTTCTTGCTGAAAGGTCTAAACGTACTCCAGTAGCCCAGTATATACCAATATCGAAGTCAAGGATAACACAGTACACATAGCTAAATGAACTGCATGTAGCATCCGATCAGCCACAGAATAGCGTATTACGAAAATAATCAATTACATACAATTGACTCCCTTAATGAACTTGAATAAAGCCAGAACAAATATTGCTGCAGAATAACATGATTTCATTCCATTTAGTGGTTTCTCATCAGCTGCTTACTACCATATATGTAATGAGATTTAGCATTAAGCTAGAATAGAATATGAAACAATTGATATAGATGAACGAGAAGAATTAGAATGATAAAGGCTATCTGTAATAACTATATACATGTGCAAGAACATGTTAGAGGTCATTTTGGAGTTGAAATTCAAATAACATAAGGGGTGGGTGATGCATCAATGAAACGAGGTCAAAAGACAAATAATATAGATTGTGTGACTATTTTAGAGGTTACGAAAGGTTTACAAAAGGTTATTGGAATTAAAAATCGATAAGGTGGGTTACGTAAGGATTGCACAGGAGAATTAAGTGAACGAAAACGTGTGAGTGAAGAGATGGTTTTGGTGTACATAAAATACGACCTTCTAAACAAAATGAAGTGACGATAATAACAGAATATGATTTACCAAGGTAGCGACAAACTTATTACTGTCTCTTTCGGGATACATAAATCAGGCTTGAATTTTCTTATTGCTATTGCTTCGGCAAACCGAAGAGACACTATGTCTTTTTGTTTGCTAATAACTTTAAAGACTTGTGCAATGTCAGTGGTATTCCCGGGGTCAAGCAAATGCCGAGCGATTACACTCAATAGAGCCACTATGCACCCCAGTCTCAAGTTCTTTGGAACGTGCTCAGAAACACGAACATGTTCTTATCCCTCTGTTCTTCCAATGTGCTTTGGCACGTAAATGAGAACCTTATTACATGCATAACTCTTAAATTAAGCAGGCAAACCTCTCCTGTATTTGTTAAGAACTATTGAAACTGTGAATTATCAAAATCACTAGCATGGAATGTTACCGTGTTAATCACTATAATTGAAAGTGATAAGAAATTCCATCTTTTATCGTAGAATATCATGTTGCTACACAGATGAAAAATATTGCTTAATTCACTTATAAATAGTAATGAGTTCAGTTGTACACTAAACGGGTGATGAGCCAGTCAAAAGAAAAGTAGTATTTCAAAAATCTTTGTTTTCCAAGTGAAATAAAGATGATACCGTCTGCACTAATACATAATTTCATTACATATCTAGTATCAATACAAGAACTTGAAGATAACCTTACAATTACTTAACAAATGACATAATGCATCTTTTCTTGTATTAGAAAGAGTTAGACACTAATCACTACCTTAAGAATAATAATATAATTAGAGTGTATCTGTTCAGGTAAATAACTGGAAATACAAAATCAGTCATTTCATAAACAAATTACTATTAATAGGTTGATATCATTTGGAAATACTTTTACACTTGACTTTTCATGCTAAATATATTCATCCAGGTATTAAAATTAGAATCCATGGTTGACCTGGTATAGATTTTACTAATGGCTATATATTTATGAATTTTCACACAACAAGTTGATTTGACTTACTCTGACTGTTAGATACCCTGGTCTTCATAATTATTACTCTAAACACACTTTAACTCATTCATATAGCATTCTATTGCTTGATAAATTTTACTGGAACTATCGTATCTAATTATTCAAATTTGTATAGAAAAGAAATGTTTATAATATGTTCTGTTACAAAACTATTTCGTCTTTTTAATGAACAATGTTGTTTGATGTACGTTATTCAATTTATTTATCGTTTATAATGAATGAAAATTTTAATGTTCATGAATGGCATTGAATAGTATCTTACGCATAGTTTATTTTATCTAAAGTAGTAATGGACTGGCAGCAGCCTTTACATAATTAGTTTTTAAAGTGAACTTTCATAATTAAATACAGTTATATATCATATTCTCGTAAATTAAACTCCTCAGAGGTTAGTAAATTCTATGAAGTCATGAGTCCTGTAATGTTTATTCAAGAAAAAATTATAGATCTTATTTCGATTAGTCATACACTGTTTTTTCCCAGTTTGGGATTATAACGTTGTCAAAGACGACGACAACAGGCATGCAAACGACCTTTAATGTGCAGAAAAATATCAAAAACATTTACCTAAATAAGATGCAAATACGACTATAAGCAGGTACGAAATAGTTATAAATGTGAGTTCTGTTTACCTCAAACACTTGCATGTATAAAGCAAATGTGTAAGCTAAAACACATTGCATTACACTCTTATCATCACATTAAATTCTGACGTCAGTCAAGAATTCAATACGGCTTAAGATTAAAGTTGTCCAGATAAGCAGGTGGGATTCAAAATGACAGGTTAATTCCTATCTTACATCTACACTAAGGTTCACACATGACTCAGAACGGCTACACTGAACTGGTTAGGCGCGGATCAAGCATTACCACATCCTTCGAATAGCATTTCTCACTCAAGTAAAACTGATCTCAAGAGTGACACACCGATTTCATATCAAAAATGGTTTCTTATCTACTGATTGGAAAATGCAACCCTTTTGTTCCATAAAATCTGTAACAGAATATTGCATTGAGGTTGTAGTGAGGAGCGAAAAATGAGAAAACCACTTTCCTTAATAGTATCGTCTAAGCATTTGAAGACTATCAATTGAGTCGAGTGGGACCATGGTATTTATGAATAATCTAAAATGCACATCTAATATATAACCCCTACCCGATTTTGACAGATAATACCATGTGCCGTTAAATAATAGAGATTCTCACATTTATTTATAAATGTAAACCGTGCATTAGCAGATGTCTTCGCAAAAACTAGAGAAGAACTATTTTCAAAGTCACTCCCTGTTGCTGTTCAGGTCTATCTATCTATCAAAACAGCTTTCCACCCCAACGGGAGAGACTTCATCGACAGTAGTTCATATCTTATGGAAAGAAGACAATGTACAATCGAAAGTGACTTATATAAATTACTGTGAAATATTAGTCATTTAAGCAAAATGAATAAAAAGAATCCAGAAAATGTTTTACTGTTTCGCATAAGTAAGACGACGACAATGTACGAGCTCAGTGGCATTTACGTGTGACTAATTTAACACAGCATTTAGTAATAAAAAGTATTTTCAAATTCTACTTCTGACTAAATGATATCCATTCGTCGATAAGTGCTTCCGAAGTTTTCCACACATGATCGCAAATCTCATCATTTAATGCTTGAGAATTACATCTACGTGGTCGACACTCAGAATAAAATGCACCAGGAATGAGATTGTTATCAAGCGCACAAAATACTGTCGTCTGGGCACCTTCACGGGATGTTTTTGTCAACCATCGAAACAAATAGTAGACTAAAAACTAAAATTAAAACAAATTTTAGTCGAACAGTAAAAGCTAATTAGTTTACAAATGCGCATCAAAACAGTATAACTTCTCTCAAACACATGCATCTCATCACATATTAATCAGTAAAACCAACGTAATCAGCTTCACTGTAACAGTTCCGAAATACCGTCCTACATCATACGATAATCAGGTACATGCACGCACACGAGTACGCAGAAACAAATTGACCACTTACCTCTCAACAACTCCATTTATATAACTATTTATTCAAACACATAAATATTGTTACAAATGGCCACCAAAGTAGATGTGCATTACACAGATAAGACAATAAGGTTGTGAAGTAAAAGAAGGCGAGGAAGTATAACCAATTAAATAAATGGCAGACTGAACACATAAATATTGGTACAAAGAGGCACCAAATACATATACGCCACACAGATCTCATTTGATATGTGTGAGGGCTGTGATACTGCCCGGGTGCCCAAACCGAAGCAGGAACGAATTATTTCAGGTGACGAACTTCCTCTCACATTTTGAGGTATAAAAGGAAATTACAGCAAGACCGCCGCTGATTCCTGTTATGACTCATACATGATAACGTATTAACACAAAGACGGCTCAAATGGACATAAACCATTTTGAGTTCTAATATTTGTAGATTTATCTCATCAGCCACACTACCACCAACACACAAACACCCATAAAGGTTCACTACAAACAGCAAGTGTGGGAACAGGTTTCTGCTAGTCTTTTAAAAGCACTTTGTATCTTGAAGGCTCACACACATGCCATACCTAAGAACATTGATCGTCAACTGATTAAGTGCGATTTGCATAGTTGGGGTATCATCGTACCACCACAACATTTGTTGTAGGAATTAGGATGCACGTTAGTCGATAATGTTGATGAGACCTATAAGGCTTTGTTTTAAACATAAGAAATAACAGTCTTCAGATGAAATCAAACGGCTTTTCGCATCATTTTGGAACATTATTATTGTCTAGCAGTGCACACAACAAATGAAGCATTTGATGGAACTCGTTCCTTAGGTTGTACTTGCGCGAGCATTCTGAATTTACGACGAGGCTAGTAGCTTGAGCTCAATCAAAGTATCCATTCCACAAATTTTGAGCATTCCTGAAAACACTCACAACCAAGAGGAAGCAGTAATCCCCTTTCTACTCAACGATGTTTGCAAAATATTAGTCGAAACAATTTCGATTCAAGTCTTCATTTTTTGTAAACATCACTAACAAACTCCTTATTTAATCCTTGTCTAGTGGCCCCGACCAAAGATGCTACCTTGACGTGGTGGTCGAGCTTGACTATCGTGATGACTCGACCGAGCTATATTGGCTGGAACATATGTTCCTGTAGGTTATGCCATGCCAGGCAGGTTGATTGGAGAACGGTAAGACCAAAAGCAGCAACTCGTGGTCTGAGGGTGAAGTCGTACTGCTGACTGTACAGAGTTGTGACAGCAGTAAGGTGTTTCCCTCGGACAACCAGCATCTGCAGCGATGCTGCCTTCTCACAAGGAAGGTTGACCCTAAAAATGTCACATCTCACCTTACCCCACGGATTTCCGTCTCCGGCGGCAGGGTCTCAACAAATACGGAGATAACACATTAAAAATCTCCCACGACCAGCCCCAAACAGTTGTCCCTTGGGCTCTGCGGTCACGCTCTCAGGTCTTCAAGACTAGCGCTTTAGAATCTCGCGCCATCGATGTGTGCTGCGTTTCCGAAACGCACATACAGGATCCGAGTAGTGTCATTCATTTGACCTCACCATGTCAAAGTAACGAACCAACTCGATTTATGCTTCGTGTAGGGACACTCGTCATTGCCTGTTCGTCGTCTCTGCCTACTCTCCCACTGACTGCAGCTCAGATGATGTAAAAGATGAGTTTTACAGAAAGCTTTCCGACCTTCTCCGAAAAGCTAGGCGCTCTGATGTAGTAATGGTGGCTGGTGACTTTAATACTCAACTAGGTAAACTAAGCGAAAGGGAAAGACACCTGGGTGGATCTTGTGGTGTCGCGGCTCAAAGAACAAATAACGGCGACCGTCTGTTGCAGCTATGCTCAGATAACCGCCTGTTTCTTGCAAACACTCACTTTAAGCATGAGGAAAAACATCTTTTGACACGGCGACGCCCTAATTCGTCTCAACGCTGGACCGAAATAGATCATATCACTATCAGCCACCGATGGAGGGGCTCGATAGAAGACTGTCGCTCATTCTGGTGCACATGCTTAGACTCAGATCATGCTCTAGTGCGAGCGCGTATTTGTCCACGTCTTACTGGACGTAGGAAATATGGTGCAAGGAAACCTACTTAATGATAGTCAATCTAAGAGTATATTTCAGGAAAAACTAGAAAAACAGTTAGGCAGCCGTGTAAGTGATGCCCAACCCGAGGCAGCGTGGAATGACATCCAAAAGGCTGTAGAAACAGCAGTGATGTCTGCAAGTACGGCAAACCATAAGGTTAAGGAGAAACACTGGATCTCAGCAGCGTCTACCGCACTGATAGATGCTCGGAAACTCATTCTATCTGGCTCTGAACATAACGAAGAGCGGAGTCAGCTTAAGCGTAAGCTGACTAGAAGCCTACGCAATGATCGTGAACAGTGGTGGGTAGCGAAAGCAAGAGAGATGGAAAAGCCAGCGGCAATAGGTAACAGCAGGCAACTGTTCGGACTTGTTAAGAAAACCGGTATTAGGAACCCAACTGTTAGCGAAACTATCTCCTAAAAAGATGGACATATTATTCATTCTCAACCCAGGAGATTGGATCGATGGGCAGAACACTTTAGGGATCAGTTCAACTGGCCTTCAGCCACACTTCGGTTTCCCACGATCTCCAATCTACCTGAATGGCAAGTTGATGTAAGTCCTCCGACTCTTTACGAAGCTTAAAAAGCTATAGGAAATCCGAAGCGTAGGAGAGCAGTAGGCCCTGACAGTTTTACCCCAGAGATTTTTAAGGATGGTGGTCCAGTATTAGCAGCGAGATTGACTGAGGTCTTAGGTAGAATCTGGAAACTGGATGTAATCCCATCTGACTGATCTCAATCACTGATTGTGCCAGTCTATAAAAAAGGACAAACGTCCTCTTATGACAATCACAGAGGAATTAGTTTGACTAATGTAGTGTCTAAAATATTTGCTTCAATATTAATTCGACGCCTAACCAAAGCTCGTGAAGAGCAGACTAGAGAAAATCAGGCTGGCTTTCGACCTGGACGTGGTTGTATAGAGCAGATATTAACACTATGTCAGGTCCTAGAACACAGACATACATTCAGACGCCCCACAATCGTTGTATTTCTCGACCTTAAGGCGGCATTCGACTCTGTTTATCGTGGGGTTCTATGGCAGTGTTTGTCTCTGAAAGGAGTACCAAAGAAGTACATTAACCTCATAAAGGCTCTCTTCTCGAACACAACTGATCGAGTGAGAGCTTATGGCAAACTGTCATCAGAACTGATTGCCTCAAGTGGTGTTTGTCAGGGCTGTTCATTCTCTCCATTCTTGTTTAACCTTGTCGTTGACGTGCTTTCAGAGATAACACTTTCCACATCTGAATTTCCAGCAGTTGAACTTCTGCCGTGAAATTCACTTGTTGACTTAGAATATGCCGATGACATAGTTCTATTTGGAGAAGACGCTGACAAAATGCAGAGTCTGCTGACCACTCTAAGCAACAATGCAGGCATGTTCGGGATGCGATTTTCTCCCTCGAAATGCAAAATGTTGCTTCAAGATTGGTTTGCGTCGACACCCGAACTAGTGATAGGAAGTGAAGTAGTTGAGCGTGTCGACCGCTTCACTTATTTTGGAAGTCTCATCAGCCCTTGTGGTCTAGTGTGTGACGAAATTTCAGCACGGATACAGAAGGCTCGACTAGTTTTTGCCAACTTGCGTCATTTGTGGCGTAGGCGAGATATCCGTCTACCAACCAAAGGACGGGTTTACTGCGCTGCAGTTCTTTCCGTCCTACTTTATGGCCGGTAAGAATAGAGGATATTTGTAGGTTACTAGTATTTGATCATAAGTGTCTTCGAAACATTACTCGTATATCCTGGGACCACCGAGTAAGTAATGCAGAAGTTAAGAAACGGTTATTAGGTAAGGATGGCAAATCGATTGATGAAGTAGTGAACATGTGTTGGGCATGCCCGACCACCGACTGCCCCGACGTGCGATGTTTTCTGGTGTAGAAGTAGGTTGGAAGAAAGCTAGGGGCAGCCAGATCAAAACATGGCACAAATCTATTGAAGTCAACGACAAGTGGACTGAGCCATGTTGGTAGGTGTAGATTACCTGGTTGGGGTCCGCGAGACAATAGCAACCGATGGTTAGAGATCTTGAATGACATGGCTCAAAATCGTTTGCAATGGCGCACGTGCATCCACTCTCTGTGTTCTCTCAAACTCTAATCTTCTGTATTCTTCATGTCCTTTATTTTCTTTCCAAATTTATTCCACTGGATTATACTCCTTAAATAACATCATTAAACCCTAATGTTCCCTATCACTATTTATACTTTCACTTCCTCTACGACTACGGGATTTGAATCGATAACTGAACCTCTGTGCTAATGTGGTATGGCAACTCGAACTGATGTACGTACGTATGAAGTTCCACGTTGTTACTGACTATCTAGTGGTGATCACTTCATCATCCTTCCCTTCTTCGTAACCACATTTATTTACTACCGCTGTACAGACAGAGTTGAAGCCAACGTCATCATCAGCGGCCTGGTGGTAGTCGTCGTCAAATTTCGCAACATAGGAGTTCAGTTCATAGTAGAGATCAGTTAACTGAACATTAAAAAAGAGTTTGTTAGAGATTATTTCCGTAAAATATGGAATACTTATGTAACAAATATTCGTGCCAACATAAACAGGCATCAGTAAAACACACACAGTATGCGCAAACAAGACGTTCGCTTTATAATCAAAGGAAAAACACTGGATGCAACATATAACACAACAGTCAACTCACATATTTCCCTTTGGATGAGCGAAAAATAGATGTCCTCACCAAGCCTGGATGAACACTGACTGAAATAATTCCGTCTCCAGACCAGCGTCTACAAATCTCACGTGCATGAATCACATTTAACAGCTTACTAATAGCATAACCAGAGCCTACACCTGACAAGAATCCGCTATTCGGGTGTAATTTAGCAAGCCAATGTAACCAAGATGACAGAATAATTACACGACAAGGTTTCCCATCCGAGGCTTGCAAACACGGTTTTAATAATTTGGTAAGCAGAAAATGACCCAAATGATTCACTTTCAAGTGTTTCTCAATTCCAAGCTCATCGTAAATCTTCTCTGGAAAATCTGCTCCAGCATTATTAATTAGGATGGAAATTGATTTTTCTCTACTAATGATACGATTTGCAAACTCTCGAATAGATTTTGGCGACTCCAGATCCAACTCTTCACAAATAAGCTATTGAAAACGAGATAATAATTACAAAGCTTACTCATGTCTCAATAACAACCTTTCAACAAACAACTTTAATCAACAAACAAAATCGACTAAATAAAAACCACGGAGTCACTGAAGATGGTAGTGGAGAGATGAAATAGTGGTTTAAGCAGTCGAATTCCAGACAATACATAACAGGTTTGGATCCTGCTTCATCTCATTTCATCTGGGCATGACAACCACGAGAAAGACACATCAAGTTAGTAAAAAAGTTACAATTAACTTACTTGATCTGGTTCCAGATGAACACTCAATACTGATGGCTTCTCATTACAAGTTCTAGTCAGAAGCTCCTGTCGAGCCAATTCGCACTTCCTTAGATCTCTGCATGCCATTATAACGCGGGCCCCACGACGAGCCAACTCATCGACCGTTTCTAATCCAATACCCGTATTGCATCCCGTAACAATAACTGTTTTACCATCCAAACGATCCTCAAGAGTACAATCGCAATGACCGAAGTATTTCCTCTTAATGATATACAATGTGCTAACAGCAACAACAATCCACATGTACGGACAAAGGAAACATACGGAAACGAAGGAGAACAACTGATCCATCCCCAGATTTGTTCCTAAAACTCAAACAGAAATTCAATTATCTATATTCACTTTCAAATATGTAGCATAAACATAGTTTATACAACAAACAAACGGGTTTCGATAATAATTGGACTGATTGCTCGATTGTCATGTCTATGTTAAATGATTCAAACTCCTCGATTGGTCCTCGTCCCGTGTCGCCTAGACGAGATATTTATCTGCCAACTAAAGGACAATCTTAACCCACAACACTTCATTGTGCTGCTTAATTGGCGTGAGACGTGGCCACTAAGAACAGAGGATATTTCTAGGTTACTAGTAATTGACCACAGGTGTCTTCGAAGCATCTATGATGTATTTTGGAATAACCGACTAAGCAATCGTAGGTTATGTGTAGGCTACCAGGTAAGATGGTAAACCCGTCGATGAGGTAGTGAAATTCTTCCAATTGAGGTGATTGCGACACATTTTACGTATACCTAGCCGCCACCTACCTCGGTGAGTGATTTTATCTGGTGCAAGAGTAAACTGAAAGAAAGCTAAGGCCCAACACAACAACACGTAGAACACATCTATGAAGTCATTAAGAACCGGATTGAGTCATATTGAATGGTTCAGGATACTTGGTTGGAATCGAAGTGATCACTGAGTTAATGTAGTATGACGACCGGCCAACTGACGGCTCTACTTAAAAGATGAACATTCATTTATCCACCAACAATCGATCCACTAGACCTTAAACATGAAGTTCGAAAATTACTCTAAAACTATACTAAAAAATATGCAATTTACTCATCACATTGGTAGGCGAATTCGAATATATTGAACTAGGCAGTAGTTGATATAAGTTAATAAATAACTAAATGGACTTATATGATCTGAAATATCAGAAGACTCAACTGGACTAACTAACAACATAAATTACTAAGTTGCGTATCTGCCTGTTTCTGAAAGTCTTCATATTATGTGTACTACATTCTCGAAATTCCTAGCTGATAGTTAGACCTGATGAACAACAGAAACCCATGTTGTCGAGTGTTGAAAAACTGTCATTGAAAGGTATAGGGGAAATAATTCCTGGTTCAACTGGACATCAGGAATCAAGAAAACAATAGAAATTTGACATGCGCTTCCAATAAAGTGTTGGAAGTGCACATTACAGACAAGTGGGCCTCGATAGGTCAATCAATGCAGAGCCTGGTACAAATATGCATGTATATGCCAAAAAATACCAAAGGCTCCATATGATTTTAGTGTTGCAATGTTTCGTGTGTTTCAGCAATCTGCAAATGACTAGCAGACAACCTACGCTCCTAAACTTCAGAAACTAAAATCAGATTTTCTAAGTTCGTAGACTATTTCAATGTTTTCCGAAAGATGATGTAGATCTGAGGCAAGGCTGCGACCATGTTGTGTATACGATGTGTACTAGGTGAGCAGGTAGAGCAACGTGAGTGTAGTTATCCGGAAAGTAGAGAAACGGAATAAAATGTGAGTCGACCACCCAGCAAGCGCACACAATGCACTCACTTTCAATAAGAACTTCAACAAACAACAACCAGTAAGAACACAAACCTCAGATTAAGACAATCTGAAAGTTGAAACTAGTAGCAGATAATTTAAACTGCTACAATCCACTTTACATAATTCGCTTGGGCAGCGGAGTTCAGTTACTGGTTCATATAAAAAAGTGTAGCTCGAATCCGACTACACAAAGTTGCCAGTAAACTACATAGTTATCGAAGATATTTAATTCTACCAATCAATGCAACTCGAAAGAATTCTCAAACGGTTGGTTTCACATAGTTCCCTTAGTAGTTGGTAATATACACTGAAAAAATTATTAACACGAAGCGATACATTACAAATGACTCCCGTTCACCTTATGACAATGTTTATATATGGCGACAATCACTAGTCAGGCAAATGCAAAAGTACTTAACAACTCTTTGAGACAATAAAGGGAACCTCACTCAGTAGGTGTTAGTCACCATTATTTGTCGGAACCACTTCTAATTATATGCCTAGAGGCCGCCTACAAGGAAACCAAATAGCACACCAAGGCGGTACATATCCAGTTTACCCAAGACAATAGAAAAAATCAGAAGGCTCTTTTTATCAGTCACCCAACCAAAACAGCGTTTTATGTATATGGCTTATTCGACGTCACCAACAAAGTTGCTGTCAACAACGGATGTAGAGTGAGTTAAAAATAAAGATACGCAACATCCAACAAGGCTTAATCTGAAATATCTCATTAAGAACTGAATAACAATATCGATTATAGAAAAACAATGGGATACACTGCTGAAGTAAGTCCGAATAAAACATGGACCGAAATGCAAAGGTGAACTCAAACCGAAACATGGGAAATGCTCACTATTTCTATCAAGTTCGCTCCAACCTTACCATACCTCTTGCACACATTTTATGTTGGCCCCTCAAAATTCCAAACTAAGAGCTAGACCCGCTAAAATGGTTCTTGTTAGTACGTTAATTAACCGAATGAAAGTATATTAAAGCTTAAGCCTTGTAGTTGAGACCTATGACTCACTTTATTTCGTATTTCGAAACTATTGGATGGTAGCATCTTTGTGGAATGAACTGTAAAATTTGGTGTAATTTTTATGACCCTGTTAACAGAGTTAAGATCTAATCATAAGGAGTTCCATAGTCCCATTGGGCTAGGTGCTATTTTATAAGCGTTTAAGATTTGGGATCTACAGTGTAGGACTTTTGGAACAATAAGGTAAGGTCTTAAAGATTTAAGGTTGGTAGTTTGGTTTTAAATAGTGTAAGCACATACGTTTTGCTAGCAATCAATAAACTGGAAATAGAAGCAAACCATGGGGCTCCCCCCCTCTTGATCCGGATCAAGAGGATGACAGCACGAATAAAGGGGGATTGTCAGATTTCCTCCTTGAGTTAGGTTACATAGAGTAAAAGTATACGATTCGGCGACGACTCAAATGTAAGGCCACAAGAATAGGAAAATCTTGCACTATTTTAACACGATAGTTGCGAAAGGCAACTTAAGTTAAGTCGCGCTTCCCTTCTAATTTTCCAGCACAAATGGTTCAAATGGTTGTGGACGGAATAGAAGAAGCTTTCGCTTAACAGGCTTCCGTGTCTAGTATCAGGGGATCACCAATACCTCCAGGCAAGAACCTAGGTATTTTAACGATAAAAGAGAAAGAAAATGAATTGGTAAATCATAGTAAGATACTATCCTTAGTCCTTAAGAATAGATCAAGTCGCCTCTTAAAGGACTCCTGGGAAGTTGCTTGGACTAGCTCAGCTCGCAGCGAATTCCAGCATTTGACAACTCTTAAGGAGTAGAAGTTGTGTCTGCAGTCCGTTCTACTATGTTGTATTTCCAGTTTCTGGGTGTTACCCCTTAGGTTAGTGTTGGGACTAAGCTTAAGTAGGTGTTTAAGAGGATGTCCAGGTGTGTTAAGGATGCTGTAAGTCATGAGAAGGTCACCTCTAAGACGCCTATACTCTACTGGGTAAAGCTTAAGTGATTGAAGGCATTCCTCATAAGGTTTAAATTTGAGTCCCCGAACTGATTTCGTGGCTCGCCGTTGGATACGCTCCGTAGTGTCCTTATCCTTTTGGAGTGTAGGAGGAAATACTATGTTTCCGTACTCTAAATGGGGACGAATGAAACTATTGAAGATTATGTGGAAAGTTCTCCCGTCAAACTGACCAAAAATGCGCTTCAATGTTACCAGTGCCAGGTTTGCTCGAAAGGCATTTCTGTCACAGTTAGCGTAAGACTTTAAGTCGTAGGGAACCAGAACTCCTAAATCTTTTTCGACTCGGGATACTACTAGAGAGGGGTTTCCCAAGTTGTAACTGTAATCTGCACGATATCCAGAAAAATTATAGAAACCCACCTCCTCCAGGTCCATTCATAGTATTAAAACTCCTAATCCCCTGAATTTATATCATCCATATATATATTAGAGCACTTATACGTAAGCTGCATTCTGACTGGCTATTTTTCAACAAGTTATCAAGGCCAAGTTATCAGGGTCATCAGTTTACTGTAGTTTAACCCATCCTGACGTCTGCGACTAGTGTGAACTTAAAGATATCGCACGGTCGAAACTTTAAAATACCATAATTTACGCGTACCTGCAACTGCTGTCGCCTTCGTGCGTGTTACATTAGTTAAGACCATATTTCTACTTCATGTTTCCACATATTCTACTACTTAATTCGGAAAGGATAGTAGAAAAATCAAGTTTCCTTGCCTCCAGCTAACAATCTTCTCCTTCATAGATCACGGAACGTCCATAGAAAATCACACAGACGATTATAAATGGTCTCAAAATAGTTTATTCAATGTTTTGTACAATGCAAGGAGACATTGTGGCTGTTCAAGCGTTCGAATTTGGAATGTGATCTCTGCGTTTTAGTACTAACCATCTTTTAATGTTCCGTTGGACAAGATTAGTAAAGGTAAGGGACTTTACTTGTTGATGATTCGATGTAAAAGTCGTTAAACTACTGATAAATGATTCTTTCTGTAGCATCGACGTGTCTAAGGGCTCTGATTATTCAACGTGAGGTTTAAAAACCTTCAACTGTTATCTCACACAATTGTTCAGTGTCTGTCAGTCTTGGCTTTATACTGTGCTCCTAATTTCTTATCACTCTCCACATCATGATCTCGTCTGTAGGTAACAAAACCAATGATCGCCGGAGATCTGGAAGGTCATTTGCTTACAGAGGAAAAAAATTAGTTCGAATGTTGCACCCCACAATACTCCAATGAGCACAGTTCTCCAGCTAGATCACTTAGAGTTAACCCATACTCTTTATTGACGTCTAAATAACAAATCCTTCAACTAGCAAGTAGGTAGCTCTCAATGCCTGTTTCTCGTAATCTTATCAATATCCTTGCTGAGGTCGATTAAGGCTAAATCCAGAGATAGCTTCTAGTATTTTGATGGCACATCAACTTTCACGAGCTATCAATAAGGTTGTGAGACATCAATGACCTGTTTTAGAACTATGTGACTTTTTTGGAAAGAACCAGATCTTCGTCGAAATGCTAAGACAGCTTGTGAATCGCTTCTCATCGATCCTTAGCAATCACTTTGGTTAAACTTGAGGGCCGATAGTTCATACGATTTTGTCTCGCACATATTTTGAATTACTTACTTACTTGCGCCTGTTACTCCCAATGGATCATAGGCCGCCGACCAGTATTCTCCAACCCACTCTGTCCTGGGCCTTCTTTTCTAGTTCCATCCAATTCTTGTTCATTTTTCTCATATCTATCTCCATTTCCCGGCGTAATGTATTCTTTGGTCTTCCTCTCCTCCTTCGACCTTGAGGATTCCATATGAGGGCTTGTCTCGTGACGCAGTTCGGTGCTTTCCTCAATGTGTGTCCTATCCACTTCCAGCGCTTCTTCCTGATTTCTTCCTCCACTGGGATCTGATTTGTTCTCTCCCACAGTAGGTTGTTGCTTATAGTGTCCGGCCAGCGGATCTGAAGTATTTTGCGTAGACAACTGTTAATAAACACCTGTATCTTTTGGACGATGGATTTCGTAGTTTTCCAGGTTTCCGCCCCATACAGTAGAACTGTCTTCACATTTGTATTGAAAATTCTGACTTTGGTGTTGGTTGCTAATTGTTTTGAGTTCCAGATATTCTTCAGTTGTAAATATGCTGCTCTTGCTTTGCCAATCCGTGCCTTCACATCTGCATCAGATCCACCGTGTTCATCGATGATGCTGCCCAAATATGTAAAGGTTTTTACATCTTCCAAATCTTCTCCGTCAAGTGTGATTGGATTGGTGCATGCTGTGTTGTATCGGAGAATCTTGCTTTTCCCTTTGTGTATATTGAGACCTATTGCTGCTGAGGCTGCAGCTACACTGGTTGTCTTCTCCTGCATTTGTTGTTGCTTATGCGATGGAAGAGCCAGATCATCTGCGAAGTCTAGATCATCCAATTGCATCCTAGCTATCCACTGTATCCCGTGCTTCCCTTCAGATGTTGATGTCTTCATGATCCAGTCGATCACCAGGATAAAGAGAAAGGGTGAGAGTAAGCAACCTTGCCTGACACCGGTATTTACTTCGAACGACTTTGTCAACTGTCCTCCATGCACGATTTTGCAGTTTAATCCATCATAGGAATTCTGTATGATATTGACTATCTTCTGAGGCACGCCGTAGTGTCGAAGAAGCTTCCATAGGGTTGTTCTGTCCACGCTATCAAATGCTTTTTCGTAGTCGATGAAGTTGATATAGAGTGATGAATTCCATTCAATTGATCGTTCCACAATGATCCGTAGAGTTGCGATTTGGTCTGTGCACGATCTATCCTTACGGAATCCTGCCTGTTGGTCTCGAAGTTGGGCGTCTACGGAGTCCTTCATCCTGTTTAACAATACCCTGTTGAAGACTTTTCCTGGTATTGAAAGAACAGTGATTCCCCTGTAGTTGTCACAGTTACTGAGATCGCCTTTCTTTGGTATTTTGACTAGAAGTCCTTGTTTCCAGTCTTTTGGTACCTGTTCCTCATCCCAGATCTTTTTGAAGAGAGTTTGGAGTATCCTTGCAGTTGCCGCTACATCTGCTTTCAGTGCCTCTGCTGGAATGCTGTCTAGTCCTGCTGCTTTGCCACTCTTGATTTGTCTGATAGCCATGCTGATTTCTTCAATTGTCGGTGCGCCAACATCAATTGGGAGGTCCGTGAGTGCTGCTTCGATGTTGGGTGGGTTCAGTGGGGCTGGTCGATTCAAGAGTTCTTTGAAGTGTTCTACCCACCTGTTTCGTTGTTCTTCAATGTTGGTGATTATCTTGCCTTCCTTGCTTTTCACTGGTCGTTCTGGTTTACGGTGATTTCCAGAGAGATTCTTTGTTGTTTCATACAGTTGTCTCATGTTTCCTTCTCTGGCAGCCTTTTCCGCCGTCAATGCCAAATCTTCCACATATTTACGTTTGTCAGTTCTGATGCTCCTTTTCACTTGCTTGTTTACTTCCGTGTATTCAGCCTGTGCCTTGACTTTTTCTGCTTTTGTTCGACTGATATTGATTGCTGCTTTCTTGTTCCTCCTTTCTTGAATCTTATCCAGTGTATCGACCGTGATCCAATCCTTGTGATGGTGCTTCTTTTGGCCCAGAACCTCATGACATGTTGAAGTGATTGCTCTTTTATCTCCTTCCAGCTGCTCTCCATAGTAGTTCCTTCTCCATTAAGTAGATCATGAAAGGCTTGGAACTTATTGCTGAGGGTTATCTTGAATTTATTGAGTTTGTCAGTATCCCGAAGAAGAGCCGTATTAAATTTTTGTGATATTGTCCTCCCGTTGTCCAGTGCCTCTTGAGTTTCAATTTCATCTTGGAGACCAGCAAGTGATGATCTGATGCTATATCGGCTCCTCTCTTTGTTCTCACGTCCTCCATCGTCCTCCTGAACTTTTTATTGATGCAGATATGGTCGATTTGGTTCTGTGTGGTGTGATCCGGTGAAGTCCATGTGGTTTTGTGTATGCGTTTATGTGGGAATATAGTCCCACCTATGACCAGTTTATTGAAGGCACATAGATTCGCAAATCTCTCACCATTTTCGTTCCTTTCTCCCAGTCCGTGTCGTCCCATGATGTCTTCATATCCGGTGTTGTCAATTCCAACCTTGGCATTTAGATCTCCCATCAGAATAGTCAGGTCTTTTGTTGGGCACTTCTCGACGATTGACTGCAGCCTATCGTAGAATTGATCTTTAGCGTCTCCATTGTAGTCATTGGTAGGCGCGTAGCATTGGATGACGTTCATTGTAATCCCCGTTTTCTTGGTTTTGAAGGAGGCTTTGATGATCCTTGGTCCATGAGATTCCCATCCTATAAGTGCATTTTGTGCTTGTTTGGACAGCATCAATGCAACTCCTTGTGTATGTGGGGCATTTTCTTCTTCATGTCCGGAGTATAACAGCAGCTCCACTGAAGCTAGTCGTTGTTGTCCAACTTGCGTCCAATGTGTTTCACTGATCCCAAGCACCTCTAAATTGTATCTCCTCATTTCTGCAGCAATTTGGAAAACTCTCCCAGTCTCCCACATTGTGCGAGCATTCCATGTACCTAAATAAATGGTTGCTCTGGTTGTCAGAAGGGGCATCGGCCTCGTGACTTCCGAAGAAACTCGGCTTTCAACATGAGGCGTCATAATTCTTCTAAACGAAGACCTCCTGACTCCCAGGGCAGAGTTTAAATGGTTTGAATAATTTTTTCTGGTTAGCGTTTTTTTAGCGAGTTAGTTTTCTACGGGATGGGGTCGCTAACCACATGCCCAACCCTCCTCCTTTATCCGGGCTTGGGACCGGCAGTAGCCCCCGGAAAAGGGCTACAGGCGGAGATAAAAGCCGACTACTCGACCAGGAATCGAAGCCGGGCCTTCCACGTGACAGGCGGAGATCGTACTTCTAGAGATATTTTGAATACGAGACATAATATGGCATTCTTCAATTTGTTTGGTAGTCTACCTTGGATAACGGACACATTACAGTATATCTCTGATGAATTTTCGATAAAGCATGCGAATTCGCTTTGTGATCCAGAATGCAATTCATTGTGTCCCATGAACTTACATATATTACGTTTATTTAATAAAGCAAAGGCGTCGAGTGTGGATAGGAAGAGTTGTCTGGACCCGAAGGAGGGAGATCGCTGCTATAGCCCTTGTTTAGTAAATGCAGGATCAAGACAGAAGGGTTACAACATAACGCATCTGTTGAGAAGGTTAGTATTCGAAATAATGTGCTATCTAGGAATTCCTGAAACAGTGCATTTTGTGTTAGACGGTACTAGATGAGCAGAAACGAACGCATTGTATTTGGAATTCGACATCAGCTAGCATTAAAGTGCAAAATGATCATTACTTCGTTCAGATACCACACGTGAGCCGTAGGGTTACTAATATTTGCAGAGTCAATAAGATCAGATATTCATCAACCATCGTTGGAGGGACTCTAATGGGTGCTTTTGCTCATTCTGCAGCATTTTGTAGACTCACATGACTCTCTAAGTTCAGCTA